GACAGCAAAGCGCATATACCGTTTTTTGCCATTTAACCAGCTCCTCAGACTTGAAGCACATGTATTACAGCAGATGTGGGGTGCCCACTGTTTGTCTTGATCACCTAGTTTACAACCGAAATAAATCTGATATGCCTTTGTTATTAGTGGAGTAATAGACCGTCTCGGAGACGCAAAAGTCACATCACCACACACGTAACAAAACTGATCTGGATTGTTTACACACTTTCGAGACATCTTGCATGAACGCTGTCAGCCAGCTGAGGAAAAAATGGCTAATATAAAACAATATAATGTACACGTATGTATAACGTAACACAATCATGCCGATTACATCATCTTTCCTTGCCGAATATAAAAATGTAGCACGTGCATTCTTGTGAATTACAGTATATTAACACTGTTACAGCAGGAACACATATAATTACCGTATCTCTAAAACTTGAACTAATATTGAAAAAATTAAGTTTCATTCCGGTTTTAGCACATTAAAAATAGTAATATTTTGTTGATTTTATTTAGGATATTTTTTGGCTGTTGATCAGTGTAATGTGTAGTCATATCCTTACTCTTGGAGGTTATATACATATATACTCCGATAGCATAAATATTTCAGAAATCTCTTTTGCACTTTTTCAATATCATTTTTGTAGGGTTCATAGATAGGGCTCCAAAATAATTGCACCGTATTCTAATTCACTTATAACAAGCACTGAAAATAACTTAATATATGCTATTGAAATTTCTAAAATTTCCGATAATAAAGCCACGTGTACGTTACGCATTACTTATAATTTCACTGATGTGCTAGTTGACGGTTATCTGAAAATCGAAATACACGCCCAAATCTTTGAAAGTTTCACAACCTTCACAATAGAATCATTTATTTTGTTAGTTAAAAACTTGACTTTCCTGGTAGACTTGCTCAAACACAAATTGTTATTCATACAGCATATTTGTAAAAAAATATTACTTTCTGGGGTCTTCACAATAGTATTCCTATGCAAGTTCAAAATCCCTCGCACAATGCGCATTTTTCTTCCATTAAAATCGGCACCGTTAATAACACTGGACAACAAATTTTAGTTTTTTAATTGTATCTTGTGGGAAAAGTGCACTTCTTTGTTAATTTTGGGGCGCTGAATCCAAAAATGACAATGAAATAAAAAAATTGGTTGCGGTCTAGAAAAAAAATTTTTTATTTTTAAGGATATATTGAAAAAAGTAACAAGATTCATATACTTATAAGAATCACTATATGCGCTGTATTTTTGCTGTTCTTTTATGGATCGTTTCTGGAGCATCTCTACCAAGAGTCCAACAGTAGTCTGCAAGCATGGAAGGATTCCACTTTCCCTGGTAGCTTTTTTCCATTGTTGAAATATCCTGATGAAAACGTTCGCCGTGGTCATCACTTACAACTCCGCAATTGTCAGGAAAAAAGTCCAGGTGTGAGTGTAGGAAATGTATCTTAAGAGACATATTACAGCCCATCTTTTGATACGATGACAGCATATTTTTGACAAGGGTTTTATAGTTATCAGCTTTTCTATTTCCCAAGAAATTTGTGACCACCAAACGGAAATCATTCCAAGCAGTTTTTTCAATACCTGTTAAAGTGTTTTCAAACTGTGTATCTTTCAAAATATTTCGAATCTGTGGCCCAACAAAAATACCTTCTTTAACCTTAGCCTCACTTAGTCTTGGACATTTATGACGCAGGTATTGAAAAGCTGACCCATCTCTATCTAATGCCTTGAAAAAGTGTTTCATTAGGCCCAACTTGATATGCAGTGGTGGTAATAAAATTTTTTTCGAATCTACTAATGGCATATGCTTTACATTTTTTTGACCTGGCTTTAGGAATTGACGAACAGGCCAGTTTTGTCTGGTGTAATGAAGTGCCGTTGCCCGACTGTCCCATTCACACAAAAAACCGCAAAACTTTGTGTAGCCTAGCTGCAGCCCAAGTAAAAGTGTAACAACTTTCAAATCGCCACAAATATGCCATTGGTGCGCATCGTATTTTATGCTTGTCAATAGGTACTTCATATTGTCATATGATTCTTTTATGTGAACTGCATACCCTACAGGAAGAGATGGTAAAATATTTAAAATATGCAATAACACTGCCTTTAAACTCAATGTTGAACTATCTATAAACAATCTCCATTCTTCTGGGTTATAGTTTATATTTAAAGCCGCCAGTAAGCCGTTAATGTTACTGCAGAAAACCAAGTTATTCTCCATATTGAAAAATGGTTCTAAGTCTTTGTGGCGTTTACGAAAAACACATACCGAAACATCGTCTTCTAACAAGTTCCACTGCTGCAGTCTTGATCCAAGTAACTCTGCCTTACATTTTGGAAGTTCTAAATCTCTTACAAGATCATTTAATTCTGACTGTGTTATTTTGTGCGGTTGGTGGCATGACGTGCTCGGTATAAAATCAGGATCTCTTGACGTTGATGGCATATCTTCTTTCTGACGAATCACTCGATCGCCATGATCTGATTCGTTTTCTGATTCGCAAGTGTAGGATTCTGGGGGTTTTGGAATAGGATTTTCGTCACTGTGAGGCACAGGTCTCATCGCAGATGGTATGTTTGGGTAGTTAATAACCGATTTTTTTTCTTGGACATAGCTGTGCCTTGTCCAACACAAGGTACCATGCAAAAGTAACAATCATTAATATGATTTGTAGGCTCTCTCCCAACCATTGGGACAGCAAAGCGCATAGACCGTTTTTTGCCATTTAACCAGCTCCTCGGACTTGAAGCACATGTATTACAGCAGATGTGGGGTGCCCACTGTTTGTCTTGGTCACCTAGTTTACAACCGAAATAAAGCTGATATGCCTTTGTTATTAGTGGAGTAATAGACCGTCTCTGAGACGCAAAAGTCACATCACCACACACGTAACAAAACTGATCTGGATTGTCTACACACTTTCGAGACATCTTGCATGAACGCTGTCAGCCAACTGAGGAAAAAATGGCTAATATAAAACAATATAATGTACACGTAACACAATCATGCCGATTACATCATCTTTCCTTGCCGAATATCAAAATGTAGCACATGCATTCTTGTGAATTACAGTATATTAACACTGTCACAGCAGGAACACATATAATTACCGTATCTCTAAAACTTGAACTAATATTGAAAAAATAAGTTTCATTCCGGTTTTAGCACATTAAAAATAGTAATATTTTGTTGATTTTATTTAGGATATTTTTTGGCTGTTGATCAGTGTAAAATCCAACAGACCAACAGATGACTATAATCGGAGTAATCAACTCCCGACAAACGTGTCAAATGTATTACTCAAATCTCAAAAATGCACAGCGCATAGACCTCCTACGCAAAGCTGTCCGGTCCTCCTTTTTGGTCCATGATGGCGCTCCGACGCTGATCCCGGAGACAGACGCGTGCGCCATCACCCAGCAGGATCCGTCCTGCTGCTGGTGCCTCTCCTGCCACTGAAGCGAAAGCAGGAGCTCCAGTTCGATGCGGTGGCCATCGCAGACAGGATGGCACGTCGGCACGCCTGCTCGCTCGCGCGTACAACATGGCTGAAGCCTCATCATGTCATTATGACACACTACTATCCTGAACAAATCTCCGAGTGCTTCTCGAGTGACATTCATGTCTTTCTTCTTCTCCTGTCATAAACGACCTTATACTTAGCGAGATTAGCGAGTGCCCGGTTAACGATAGGGTAGAGTGGGGTTAACTGGACCAATCAAAATTTAAACTTTGTTTTTGACCAGAAAATCGTTGCTAAAAAAATACCTTTATGACCATGCTTTGGAAGTTATGTAAGTAATTGGAAAACGTAATGTTTAAAGTTAAATTTAAATTTATGTGTATGACAGATTGACTTTTTTCAAAACCTATCAAATTGTCCAGTTAACCTGCCTGTCAGGTTAACTGGACCACTTATGCAGGTTGACTGAACAGAGGTACAAACAAGATATATTTTTTAAATTTACTTTTACTTAACACTTTCTACATGGAAATTTTGTCAGCTTCTTATGATTTAGTGCCCTGGAATCTTCATGCGCCGCCATTTTTGTTATTTAATTGAAATATACAATAAATTTGTCATAAATTGTTAAATAGCAAAAATGGCCATGCATGGAAAATTCAGGGCACTAAACCATAAGAAGGCTGGCAAGCTTTCCATCATTTACTATTACCAACCTAATACCCTAAATACAAGTCTAGCCCTCTAGCGAATAAGGCGACTAGCTATAATAAAAATGTAAAAAATATATCATGGAAAATATGTCAACACTTTTTAACAATCATTTTTATTTATGATAAGAAACATACTAAAGATACATTAAAATATTATAGATACTTTTAATAAACTGTAAAGTCAAACATACTGAACATGTATGAAAATATTGTAGGTAATTTTAATAAACTGTAAAGTCAAATTCGTTTAAATCAACTTGAAATTACACCATGTTGGCATATCTAGCGCTGTTACTTTTGGCTGGCATGGGTAACTTACAAACAATATCAGCTTTTACAACAAAGCCATTTTCATTATTTTTAAAAAAATATTTTGTTTCTTTGTGGCGTTTTAAAAAAGTAACCTCAAAACCATCATTTACAGCATGAATAATTTCACCAACATAATGTCTGAAATTTAATTTATTTTGCCCATACACTTTCACGATTACAAAATCGCCTTTTGTCACAGCTTGTGGACTATCGTCATATGCATCAAATTCTTCTAAAGAATCCGAGATTTCTTCATAGATAACACTTTTATCATCAGACGAGCTGTATTCTAGAATACGTCTTTTTACTGCCTCTTTTTTTTGTTAGTTGTTTTGTTTTTTTGTGTGCGTTTTCTTCTCGAAGTCTTGCTTTCTTCCTCCATGTTCTCTTTGACAGGAGTGTCTGTCAAAATCAGGGATTTTCCTTTCTTTCGTCGAATTGTAGACTTTCGTTCACCAGCTTTGGGGTGAGGACGGATCTGTTCAGGAGTTATAATTTGTAATGTCGGCTTTTTTTATCTCAATTGAAGATAAAGTCGGTTTGGTTTGTGATTTTTCAGTTTGTAGTTTAGCAGTGCTCGACGATTCAGCTTGTGATGGTCCGGCTTGTGATTCTTGATATTTTGAGAGCTGAAATTGTGACAGAACAGGATCTGTCATGCCATGTTGAATCGGTTTAGGCAGTGATGTATTATCTTGTGACGACCCAGCTTGTGGTGCCTCTTCCTCTGATGTTTTCCCTGGTCTATCTGTAACATATGACGAAAGAAATTCTTCATCCGAAAATATTTGGTCATTAAACGGCTCTATTCCTGCTGCACGAAATCCACTGCATATATTTTTTGGAGTAAACGCTTGCAAAAAAACCTCTCCAACCAGGCTTCCGATGTCATAAATAGTGATATGTTTTAAATTTATATCCAAGTTGTTTTTTTCCCGACATTTATCGACATACCTTTTTTAAGTAATTCTTGGGATTTTAAACTGAAGTGCAACACTTCGAGTTGTTCGACCATGTGTCAGGACTTCTTCACATGCTTGTCTAAGATCTGCTACACTATATGATCTGTTATTGGTAGTACGTAGTCTTTTTCTTGGTATATTCTAAAAAATAAACTAAATTTGTAGACAAAATAATAATACATAAATAACGCAGGTTAACTGAACACCTGTTCATATAACCACATACATGAGATGTCCAGTTATACCCACTGTGCACCAATACATAAGCAAAAGAAAAATTTGAATAAAAAACAATGTTAAGCTTAGGTAAACGCAAGAAATAAATGCTAAAATACTTACTGGAACAAAATATACGTCAAACCAATTTTAAAACTCTATTTTGCTAACTGTAACACAAAAAAACTTGGGAGCACAAATTTTACGTGGCGGCCATTAAAAATATGTTTGCTGATTTACGAGATTAGAACCGAATTAAAAGAAATCTGCACCGAACAGTGTCAACACACGTAACAAAAGACGCTTTCAGGCAAAATCAAGTTTAATTTATCATTACTAGATGGCAGGAACATCGATGTGTTCAGTTAACCTACCTGTTCAGATAACCCCACTCTACCCTAATTGGTAAATAGTGGAATGAATGTGTATAGGAAGGATGGAGCTACTATCGTATACAATTTGGTTTGAGCTAGTAGAAAGTTTGACGTAACTCAGCTAACTGACCAGATAATCTGTGTCGCAGTACACGATTTTTTTCTACTATCTATTATCGTAATAAAATCAAGCTAAAATATTTTGTTCTATAGAATGACATATGTTCCAGCCACTGTTCTGTGCAAAATAATCTAAACGATGTTATTTCCAGTACTACGAACTGCTTAGGGGGATTGTGGTTAAAGTGATCAGAAATTAATTTTGTGTTACACAAAATTATAACTGTGTCATTTTCTCCTAAATATACTATTAAACCGATAAGAGAAAGATCGTGAATATTTTTATCTTGATTAATTGCGTCCATTAACTAAGTAACATATAGCGACTAGAAAAAAACATACAGTACGTAGTAGAAATACACATTTTTATTATATTATGTTTAAAATATTTTATTATTATATCTACATAACAGCTTCAACCATAAGGCTTATAGTCCTCCACATATTTTCATTACATTGTAGATTTAAGCGTGCTTTATACAAACTTGTATCCGTTATGTTTTGTCAAGTATAGTGTAGGTGAAAAAAGTAATTTGTGTCTATGCACAACATATACTTAAATTAAAAAGAGTACTACAATGACAAAGCTTTGGCTGAGAATACTATTCCAAAAATGCTCTTACATAGCTAATGTTACAAATAACATTGACATATTCATATCTATTATGTTTTGACAGGAAAATATTAAGCAGTACCTGCAGAACACAAGTATCAGTATCCATATATGTATATCACGATCTTATTTTATATGAATTCGTTATAATGATACAGATAGTGAAATTAAATCAAATTACAAAGTATGTGGTTAATAATGCCAATATATTGACCACTAGTATCCAGAAAATATTATTGAACCGATAATTGAAATCATATATACGCGAAGAATAAAACATACCAACAAAATTGGATGTTCCTGTTTTATTCTGATTGGCAGAACGAAAGTGATCAAGGGGACATACTAGCTCTGCTTTATTTCAGTGAATTGTAGCAGTTTGTCACGACAGATTGTAGGAACTCTTATAAAGTGTAGTGTAACCGAACTAGCATATCCATTATTCAAATAATGAGTATGTACAGTATATTCAGATAAGAGATAGACCGGACATAAACAAGACCACGTGATCATCGAACGCTGTAACATTCGGCAGGGACGTATTAAGAGTCACGCAGTACATATTTTAGATAGTAGATGCTGCTTTGCGTAACTTTGTAGTAAATTAGCACAATTCGATGTGTATACGATTGGTGATGGATATAGGATCATGTGGGGGTGGGGTAAGAAACATATAATGATGTAAATATACATAAGGGTTTCAAAATTTTCGCTTCGATTTCCAGCTTCGGATGCCGCCTGATGTTTGGTGAAATACAGTCGAATATAATCTCAAAATGGCGTTTAAATTAGCCTAAATTAAAAATAATCGTATATCTCTTAAAATTGCTTTTAGAATATTGATTAGTATATTTTTTGATTTCTAGGTAAATATGTAACCAAATTAAAACGTTCAAAACGTAAAAAAATGTGCATGGTTGAACATTGTCAGAAAGTAGATTCTTGAATAGGTTTTGCCAAAATGGGTTCAAAAATGTCAATAATTAATTAAAAAATACAGTAGCCGTTACCGAATTTGATGAACGACATCTTTTATTGGAAAGATGAGCTTGATGAGCTTTCATCATCGCTACTGCCTGAAGCACCAACGTCAATAATGAATGTCTCGACTTGTTCCTCTAAAATATTGTCCAGTTCCCACATTCTCTTTTCAACTTTGTCTTTCACGTGCTTAATACAGTTTTCCCATTTTTGCGCTGTTATTAATTCTAGTGCTTCTTTGAAAAGTCCTTTGAGGTCACAAAATTTAAAAGTTGTATTGTGCTTAGCTATATAATTTTTAACCTCTGCCCATATGAGCTCAATGGGATTGAGCTCGCAATGGTATGGAGGTAAACGGAGCACAGTTTTATTTTGACTTGCTGCCATTTCGTCAATGGCGTATTTTTCATATTCCGCCTTGTGATCCTTGACAATTCTTAATAATTGTACTTTCAGCATTGCTACTTCAAAGTTGATATTTTTCGAGCGGAGCCAATTTTGAACATCAACATTCCTTGAAGCCGTTGTTGGGACCTTCTCCATTCTTCGAGAATGATAAGGCGCATTATCCAACACAATTACTGCGTTTTCCTCTAAGTTCGGTAACATTTTTGAAAACCACTGTTCAAACGATTCGCCATTCATTTCCTCGTGGTAATCTCCAGTTTTCTTAGACTCAAAGCACCACAGACCGTCAACAACGAATCCATCCTCACTGCCAATATGGCAGATAATGAGCCTTTTCCCTTTACCTGGAAATCGAAGTACTAACTGGTGTAGATTTATTTCAATAAGCGAACCTTTTTCAAATGTTTTCATCACATTCAGCGAAAAAACATTGAGACATGAGTATCAGACTGCTATAATTGGGATTATTTAGTCATATTGAAAGAAAGAATATTGAACGTCGTATGATTACTCAGCGCTTCACAATTTAACTTAAAGTTATAAACCTTTAAAAAATAAATGATCAGGAACCTGAAATACGCGCAAATATTAATATTAACAAATTATAACTTTATAAAGCTTAAAGTATGAATTAAAATGATTAGAAATATTAGGAACGGTACACAATATAAAACTTAGTAACTTTTTTTAAGTTTATAATATTCGACATATTTTAAGATTATATTAAAAAATTATTGAAATATCGAAAACACATAAAAACATGGCTTAAAAAAGTTCTAACAAATGAAAATGACAATAAAACATCCACGCATTTTATCGAAAGTTATAAAAGTTTTGTTACTTGTAATACGTTTTATCTGCCCCCTGGAATTAATGTTTAGAACCTTGTTCCCAAGGTTTGAAAAACATCCGATTGTTGTCTATTACTCGTATTTACCTGCTGGATTTTTTAATCCGGTGGACAGTCCATCTAGAAAGCCCTCCTGGATGAAGCTACAGAATCATCAACCCATACTTTACTTGTAGTGTGTCCTGCGTTTACCCACGTTTCATCAAGGTAATAAATCTTCTTTCTATATTTCCCAATTTTTGTTAAATAATCCCTCCTCCATAGCACAATTTCTTCTCTATCCAGTAGTAAACTATTACGACCCCGTTTTTTCCATTTGAAATTTAAATGCTTCAGTAACGCAAGGAAAGTTGATCGTTTGAAATTTGGCAACGTTGTATCTCCATTTACCTCCTGCAGTACTTTATCTATAGTAGGTATTTCATTCCTAAAGAAGAATTCATGCACTTTCCTCCTAATCGCATACTTATCAGCTTCATCCAATGATTTAACAATACTTTTGCGATGTTTACTGGTCATTGGCTCAGAAAAGGTGTGATTTTCTTTGTGTTGTCTTAACACATTAAACACTGATGCGCGACACACCCCAACTTTGTGAGAAACCTTCACAACAATTTCTTTGATGGTTGATGCCTCGTTCTCCTCGCGCTCGATCTTATATATATTCAAAATGACCTCTTTCATTTCTGTACTCAGGTGTCTTTTTTAGAGCGTTTCCTAGGTGGACTACAGGAGTTTAAAACTTCATCGGCAGTATCTGTACTACTGGGCATTTTGCGCAAGCAGTTGATAACAATAACAATCAATAACAAGGTATAACAATAACAACGACAAGCTCAACAACTTAATAAGATAACAAACGAAAACGTCCAAAGAAATATCAAATTGCAATGATGCACACGACATCCGTAACACGTCTGAACCTGAATGTGACTCTGCCTTGATACGACTGCTCTGCCGCTCGGCATAGGCATTTAATTGCGAATTGACCAATGAGGGCTCCTGTTTTACGTCGAGACGGCGGCGTTAGCGTGAAAATCACCCGAACCTTTTGTTTACATCCGGTCTATCTCTTATCTGAATATACTGTAGTATGTTTTTTTATACAAGGTGTCCTAGAAATAACACGTCAGAGTGACACGGGAAATCTACCGGTTGGCTTCAGATCAATCAGACAAAATCAACATGACCTTATTAAAAGTTCTCTAGTTTTCGAATTATTGCCACTTTTAGTTTTTTCAAAAAATCCCTACTTTTTAATCCTTTTTTGGGTCTTTGCTATAAAGAGCTTCTAAAATTTTTCATCCTGGACTAACATTTATAGTTGGTTGAGACGACCGAATATTCATCTCATTGCAAACTAGCACGGTTTGCTGAAAAAAAGTAAATTATTACTTTTCAATTGCAGAAATGCCATAAACGCAGTTGAATGTTTGGCCGTAACACTACGTGGACGGAGTATTACTCATAAACAAATACATTTTGGGACAATCTATTTATGGCATGTTATACATGACATTTGAGGGCACATCCCTAAAATATTGTCAATTATACAGGGTGTCCCCAAAAGTACAATTCGCGTTTTTGACCACCATGTATGAGGAAAAATAAAAATTCGAAAAAGTAACAAATATGATGAAAGCTGAGGTGTGTAAGTTTTTTTGGTACAAAATTGAGCACTTCAAATTTCAAAATGGCGAAGTGGACGGTTTTTCTGGACAGAACACCTTACATCTCAGTAGCTAATTACCAAAACCCCATAGTATGTTATGTTAATCTTCTTCTTCTAAATTCAAATCAATATGGTTTTATAGCGGGCAAATCTACAACAGATGGGGTATTAAGTATAGTAGATGAAATAACCCAAAATATAGATGGAAAAGTACCATCGATATGCGTATTTGTGGACTTACAAAAAGCGTTTGACACAGTTAACCACAATATACTTTTGGAAATCTTAGAAAGAATAGGTTTTCGTGGAAAGATGTATACTTTAATGGAAAATTATTTATCAAATAGACCGCAATCAGTAAAATTATTAAGCTCGTATAGTAAAGAAAT